TTGACCAGGAGTGTAAACACTTTTAAATATGACTCTTGTACAGTCCAGTATTAGAGAGAAAGAATTCTAGCCAATTTTGATTTGGAAAGAAATATAATTTTATCATCTTAATAGCTTTAATAGCTCATCACAATGGTCAGTATCTTAAAAAGCCAATAAGGAGCAACTGCAAAGAGTCAGTTAAGTCACTTAGATGACAAGGTGCTGCTCATTATTCGTACCTAGAATTAATAAAGTTACGTCAGGGGGAGGAGCCTTTTCATACAAAGCCCCCCAGCTTTGGAATAACCTACCGGTCTGTGTTCGGGACTCAGACACAGCCTCCATCTTTAAGTCTAGGCTAAAAACTTACCTGTTTAGTCGAGCCTTTGGTTAATTAGTTTTCCTGTTTGAAAATGGCGCAGATCTGGGACAGAGAGTCCTGTGGTAAATCTGGGAATGTTGGTGCTGAACTAACTATCTGTCCCCCTCTTCCCTCCCTCCCCCTCTCTTTCCCTGAGCTGATCGGCTGCCTGTCCCAAGAGGGTCTGATGTGGACACCACTCAATCACGTCCCAGGGGGATCTGATGTGGCCGGCGCTCTGCACAGTGGTGTTAAACCGTATCCACTTATACTGTTTTGTGTCTGTGCTGTTATCCGGTGTCGACCAGAGGAGGATGGGTTCCCCTTTTGAGTCTGGTTCCTCTCGAGGTTTCTTCCTCCTGTTGAGGGAGTTTTTCCTTGCCACTGTCACCAAGGCTTGCTCACTGGAGGACCCGGATTCTCTGTAAAGCTGCTTTGTGACAACATCTGTTGTAAAAGGCGCTATATAAATAAATTTGACTTGACTTGACTATTATAGCGACATGATACACAGTGTCACTTTAACAGATAGACGCTGTACTTTGGTGGTTGAAGCACATTCTTGCTTGACAATAATGGCTAAAGAAAGAGAGAGAGAGACAGGGAGAGTATGGACCATTCTACTGAATTAGTTCAAACTGCAGACCCATAGCAACAAAAAAATAAATAAATAAATAAAAAAAAAACAGTTACATATTCAGATCTTAAATATGATCTATAAACCCAAGGCATAAATTGAGATAGTAATAAGTTAGACATACAAAATCATCGTTTATAGAATACTTTCTGTTGGTAGTTGTCTGCCCCAAACCCTAGTTCTTACCTTTACACTTAATAATAAAATAATACTTTTTTCCATTGTTGTTTTTAAAATTGGACTCCTTTTAAGGGAATTTGAAAGATTTAGATTTATCATGAATTTAATTTTCAAAAAATAAAAAAAGCCAATGTGGTCTGAAGCAAAACTTACGCTAACGTTTCGTTTTGTTTTAGGGAGAAAGGGGCAGAAAAAAATAAAAATTCAAGTTTCTGGCTCCATCTTTAAAGAACTTTTAAGTCCCTGTCCCTCATGGCCACAAAGTGAGCAGTTAGATCCCATTGTTTTGAAGTAAATGTGTCCCAAAATCTGAAAATCAGTGTGAAACATTACAAATTGTCACTACTGAAACAGATTTTCTAAAAAAAGTTTTTTTTTGTGTTTTAATGAAAAATATGATGATTTTATGTGTGCACAGCTGTTCAAAGCTGTGTTTGCTGGTCATGTACTGGCTAGCATTTTTTGAGTTCTGCTCAAAATGAGCTAAAATTGTCAAAACAGTCATTAATAAACAGAATTAATTATTATTTAATTATATAATTAATTAATAATTAAGGTTTAGGGTCAAAAGGATTTTAGTCTAAAGTCCATTCAGTTGAAAGTCTGAAATGTGTTTTCAGCTCTGACTTTGAACAAATTCGCTAGAATGATCCACGTGTAGCCCATGAGAGAGAAATCAATACGAGGCAAAGGGGCTTTCTTAATATACTGCAGCACTTTCAAGGTTGTTATGACTTTCCCAATGCTTGGAGAGATTATGACGATGGCTGGAATAAAATAAAGATGTAGCAACATTCACCCGCCGCAGACAGTCGGTGGCTGTCATAGACGAGGCTCGAACATCACCGGTTTCACTCAGAAGCTCTCCAATCATGATCAGACAGCTTTTGTGATCTGCAGCTGTTCTACCTTCATTTCATCGGCTTTAAGAGCACAGCGAACCGTTCTGAGGTGGATTTTTTCGGCACTTTCTGTGTGACAGCAACACTCAGGGTTTGACGCTTATTAATAATCAGCTCGTTTTAAATCATCTTTGATGGTGAGATGAGTGTGAGAGAAGCACCTCTCGCGCTTCAGAGAGGATCCTTCATCATTAGCAGTGAAGTAGCTGGGCTGAAAAATTCCTTCTTGTTCATCAACATCAGCCCCAGAACCTTCCTCTTCAGAGACAGCTGGGCCATCAGCGATGGACCGATTGTTCGGGTTTCTAAGCTAAAATCATTTCTTTGTGGGTCACTTAATGAGCTCCTCCTTCCTCATAGGTCCACTCCATTCATAATGGTCAGTTTCAGGACCACTGCAGATATCATTTGGGTGGTCACTGCTAAAGCTGGTCTACCACACACATATATCCAGCAAACAGTGGTCCTGTAGCCAGACGCTGACAGCTGATGAAGGGCTAGCAGATGGCCAACACAAACGGTTCATATTCTCTAAGTAAACACGATGCACGTTTGGCTCCAAGCATGTACGCGACACCTGCCGCGTGTCTCATGTTTCATTTACACTTATGAAGACAGTTGGCCGAAGTTGTCCCTGATCACAGCGGAGTGAAAGGTTGCACTACTGTAACTAGGATATGGTTGCTGGGGCAACGGCTCATGCAACATGAAAATCATTGCGGGCTACTCGGGGCTCGGAGTGTGTCGTAATACTGACTGTAAGAACATTAATCCTCTCTGCTGAGGATGGAGAGAGTGAAAGGAAGATCAGTTCATAATCAATTCATTCTTCTCTCGACTCCATAAAGGATGAAAGAAGCAGCTCTATTCTATTCTATTCTATTCTATTCTATATTGTCCAATTCTGTTATGTTTTATTCTATTCTTTTTTTTAATTTTGTTCTTTTTATTCTATTCTATTCCATTCCATTCCATTCTATTCTATTCTATTCTATTCTATTCTCTGAATTTCCCCAGTTGTGGGACTAATAAAGGATTATTTATTTTTTTTTCTATTCTGTAGTTTTCTATTCTATTCTATGTTTTCTATTCTACTCTATTCTATGCTTTTTACTTCATTCTGTTTTCTATTATACTTTACTTTTTGTTTTCTATTCTATTGTATTCTACTCTATTCTGTGTTTTCTATTCTACTCTGCTTTGTGTTTTCTATTCTACTGTACTTTTTGTTCTACTGTATTCTATTCTACTCTATTCTCTTTTCTATTCTATTCTATTGTATGCTTGCTATTCTACTGTAATCTGTGTAATTTTTACTGTAATTTTCTTTTCTATTCTATGCTTTCTATTTTTTCTAATCTATTCTATTCTATTCTGTTATGTGTTTTATGTTCTATTCTATTGTATTGTGTTTTTGATTCTATTCTATTTTACTCTATTCTGTGTTTTCTATTCTTTTCTATTGTATTCTATTCTGTTTGCTATTCTACTGTAATCTGTTTTCTTTTCTATTCTATGCTTTCTATTTTTTCTATTCTATTCTGTTTTCTATTCTATTATGTGTTTTCTATTATATTCTATTATATGTTTGCTATTCCACTCTACTCTGTTTTCTTTTCTGTTCTGTGCCTTCTATTTTTTTCTACTCTATTCTGGGTTGTCTATTCTATTCTATTTTACATACATACATACATACATACATCTTCTAAACCGCTTATCCTTCTGGGTCGCGGTGGGGTGCTGGAGCCTATCCCAGCTGTCATTGGGCGAAAGGCAGGATACACCCTGGACAGGTCGCCAGTCCATCGCAGGGCAGACAGACAGACACAATCACACACACACTCACACCTAGGGGCAATTTATCACGTCCAATCAGCCTGACTGCATGTTTTTGGACTGTGGGACGAAACCGGAGTACCCGGAGGAAACCCACGCAGACACGGGGAGAACAGGCAAACTCCACACAGAAATGACCCCGGTCGCCCGACCGAGAACTGAACCCAGGCCCTTCTTGCTGTGAGGCGACAGTGCTACCGTGCCGCAGTGGGTAGCTCACTGTATTCACTGTATTCTGTTTTCTATTCTATTCTGTGTTTTCTTTTCTATTCTATTATGTGTTTTCTATTATATTCTATTATATATTTGCTATTCTACTCTACTCTGTTTTTTCTACTCTATGCTTTCTACTTTTTCTACTCTATTCTGTGTTGTCTATTCTATTCTATTCTATTCTATTCTATTCTATTCACAGGAAAAAGTATGAAATGAGGTCAACTCCTTCTCCACCAAAGAAAAAAGTCAAATCACCTCAACTTGCAAATTCACACTCAATTTTTTCCACCTCCTATCGCGGTGCCTTTTCTCCTTTTATTTTTTTTTCTTTTCCTGTTTTTCCCCATCCTTTCATCCTCATCACTTTCTGTGTTAGGCCACAGTCCCTGAGGTGAAACTGCTCTCTGGAGCACCATTATCAACCCATAACTAGATTCAAACAGCATTTAAACGAATTTGGTGGTTGACGTAAGTCTGTGGTTTTAACCGTAATCTAAAGCTCAGAGGCACACAACACACACACACACACACACACACACACACACACACACACACACACACACACACACACAACCAGACACACACACACACACACACACAGACACACAACCAGACACACACACACACACACTAGTGAGTTTTCCTGTTTTTGTGGGGCTTTTCCTTATGAGTATGTAAACGCTGTGCTCCAGCAAACCTAACTCTAACCTTAACCTCAACAACATAAAGATTTTTTTACATTTTATAAAGAAAGATGCATTTTTTGGGGAAGGTGGGGGAACAAAATAATTTTACCTGGTTCGAAGCACCCAAATGTCCCCAAAACCACCACATATTCAGTTTTCATGCAGGATCTCCATATAGAGCTAAACACACAAACACGTACTTGTGAGATCTCTTTCCTCCGGTTCCTCCGGGTCCTGCTCCACAGTCGTGGGCCTGGATGATGAAGGTGTATTCTCTCTGATGCTCGCAGTCAATTGGACGGCGCGCCCGAAGCTGCCCCTCCCCTGACGTCTTGTTCAGAACCACCGCCTCAAATGGGGCGTCCAGACCGTACACTCGAAATGCACAGATCTCCCCTAGAGATACAGACACACACACAGAGACTGAATTAGAACGAGTCCAAAAGCTTCTCCACACGGACGGGTGTTCCTATGATTTGGCAGGAGAGCAAAAGAATGGAATGGAATATTTCACTGTGTTGTTTTGGCAGTTGTTTTGTTTCTCTCTTCTTCTTTCTCATGATACAGAAACACAGCAAGGGTCTGAGATGGGGAATCAAGTTAGCAGCTTGGACTCAAGTCGCATGCTGACCTGACTCGTGACACGACGTGGCTCAGATTTGTGCTTAAGTGGCTTGCCACTCAGACTCAAGACTCGCAATATTTCAGCCAGATAAAATTACACCAGTGAAACAGATTAAATTAAGACCAGTAATCTTATAACAAGTAAAACCTTTTGTTTCCAACCTTACGTGCATTGATGCAAATACGGTGGGAGATGGGAAGGTGGGGATTGGGCGAAGACTGTGTTGGGGGGCATGTCCCCTCCCCTTTCATTTATTATGGTTGCGCAATTGCTGCAATGTATTGTTCTTTGTTTTATATTATTCTTCTTCTCTTTTATTCTTATTTTTCTGCCGGATTTTGGCCGCATAACTCATCCTGCAGTTCAAGATATCAACACTGTTCCAACTCTAGACTGTCCAGTCTGACAATCTTCGTTAAATTCCAAATTTTTCTCCCATAGGAATGAATGAGGTTAAAAATTGCATGACCATCTACTGTACTTCTGCTTGATCGAAAGACACTGTTTCGCATACACTGTCTCAGGGTAGGCCCCCGAGCACAAACTCAATGTTGTTCTGACCCGCACTCACCTGTTTGTCATTTTTTTCCATCCCTCGTTTCTCCCATAGTGTCCCATTCATTTTTGCCACCACACAAACTCTATTACTTCGTTGCCCTACAGCCACCAAACTACATGTACTCACTGAGGGTAGGACCTCAAACTCTACTCTATCCATCCATCCATCCTTCTCAAGTTGTTTTGCTCCTTTATTTTATGTCAGATGACATTAATTTCTTTAATCAATCAGTCATGACCCCTCTGGGGTGAAATTACTTGCACATTGTAGTCAGTGTCCCAGTAATAATGCTGATAATATGACATACCATAATATGACATGGTAAGTCAGGAAGGGAGCCTTTTCTGTGGCCTCTATGTAAAGTATGTAAAATTTCAGCTGTCATATCATCAGCATTATATCACTATAATGTACACTAAGCTACAAAGTCAGCTGTTATAATGTGCTATATTAGTGTTTTTCAACCAGTGAGTTTTGGTGTTACTTCTAGAGGGCAGTCTTTGTTCCCCTCTTTTAAAAACATAAAACTTCATTACAAAATATATAGACATTTGACCAAACCAACTATTTCAGATATTACACATATCAATAGCCACGTTTACATGCAGCCGGATAATCTGTTCATAATCCGACTAATAGCTCAATAGGAAAAGAATACGTCCATGTATACATGTCAATCAGAATAGAACAGTCCGATTGAGGCCATTCGGAATACAATGTCTATCCGATTGGTCGAGGTGGGTAATCCTGTAAATAACCTGTTAAATAGAAGAATAATAGCCATGTTAACGCCTGTATCTGATTACAAGTCTGTTCTGATCATGTTCGTCACATCATAGTGAAAGTTTATAACGTTCAGCATGGCGGAGCAGAAACTGGTCTGCAGAGGAGACAAAGTTTATGCTCTGATCTTTAAAAGACGGCGGTGGGACGGACGTCCAGCTTATGTGTCTCAGAACACGACGTCTTCCTCTCGGCCTTCTTTAATAAGGACATGTGAAGGACGTTTCCCTGAGTCTGACATCATTTTAAAGCAATTAAAAACACAAGCACTGCTCACTGCTGCTCATCTCACTCTGACTGGACTCACGTGATGCTCGTTTTCATGGCAATGTCTACAGTAAGTGGTACGTATGTGAGTAATCTTGGATCAGATATACAGGTTACTTATGTGAGCCGTGAACTGCAAAAAGTTGGGGTACATCATGTCACTCAAAAAAAATCTATGTCACCTGACGTTACGCTACGTCAGCCTACATCATATGTTATGACCACCTGAAAATGAATTTGACAAATTCAGCTTTAATGAGAGATGATGCCTACTTATTTATGTTTAAATCATTTGTTATAATGAGCTTATGTAGTCTTATGAACACTACACTGCGATGCCACAGTTTTTAAGTTTACATATGGCTGCATGTTCAGTGGTAGATTTTGTTTTGATGTCTGAATTTTGCTGCTGGCTTATGAAACCATCAGACGACACCTGAGCAATCATACAAGTCATCTTGACAATAAGGTCAAGTTAACGCTTAAGATCTAACATTTTTACTTTTTACTGGTATTTTATCTACTGAAAGAGTCTCATACCAGTGGTAGATAATTTTGCTTGTATATTAATTTGATGGCGTGAGACACTTTCACTAGAAAAACACTTAAAACAAGTACAGGAAGTTAATTAATCCTATGGTATTCTTAGAGCAATCTCAAAATTGAACACAATTTCTCTTGCAAAGATGTTTTTTTTGCAGTGTGTAACTTTTAAATCACACTGTTCAGCTTTTCCTCTTTTCGAGAACAAATTGTGGAAAGTTTGACTGCAACATCAAGGAACACTTTCAGGCCAAAACACAAAAATGTGGCTATGTAGGTTTAAGTCAATTGTCTGATGAGCTTATGTAGCCTTATAAACACTGTACTACAGTAAAGCACAGCATCAGCACTGATACTGTATATTAGAGAATTGCATCATTCACAAACACACACACACACACACACACACACACACACACACACACACACACAAACACACACACACACATTCTCCCTGTCTGACAATTTCCAGAATATGTTTATGTTTATGTTTATGTTGATGTTTACACCACATTTCAGTCTGTATTTCCTGCAGTTCTGCTGAACTATCTCCTCACTTTTCTCAAAAACGCAGAGAAACGGATGGACGTTTTCTATGAGATGGAAATGGAACGTTCAATACTTTTCTCTCTTTGCCTTTACCTCTCTCCCTCTCTCCCTCTCTCTCTCTCTCTCTCTCTCTCTCTCTCTCTCTGTGTGTGGGCATAAATGAACTACTGCTGGCCAGCACTGATAAGACTGAGTGTATTTTCCACGCCACTCTATTCTTCTCTTTCATCTTCATCCAGAATAATCCCCCTCTCACCTCAAACACAGAAATAATAAAGCCTGAGAGAGAGAGAGAGTAACAGAGAGAGAGAGAGAGAGAGAGAGAGAGAGAGAGAGAGAGAGAGAGAGAGAGAGAGAGATTGAAGGAGATTGAAAGAGAATGATAGAGATGAACAGAAAGAGAGAAAGAGAATGACAGAAATAGATGCAGATAGAGAGAGAAAGAAATGATAAAGAGAAATAGAGAGATACAGAGAGAGAGAGAGAGAGAGAGAGAGAGACAGAAAGAGAGAGAGATTGACAGAGAATGATACAGATGAACAGACAGAGAGCATGTGCAGGAGAGAATGATACAGAGAAAAAGAGAACATTAGAGAAATAGATGCGAAGAGAAAAACAGAGAGAGAAAGATAGAGAATTGGAGAGAGAGAAATAAAGAGATGGAGAGAGAAAGAAAGAGAATGATATAGAGAACAACAGAGAGAGAATGACAGTGAGAAAGGGAGAGAGTGAGAGAGAGAAACAGAGAGAAAGGCAGAGAGAGAGACTGATAGAGAGAGAAAGCAAGACAAATAGAGAGAGAATGATAAAGAGATGATGATCAAAACACACACACACACACAGAGAGAGAGAGAGAGAGAGAGAGAGAGAGAGAGGAGAGAGAGAGACTGTCAATCTTGAGTGTCTTCCACTTCCTTCATTTTAAAGAGTTGGGACTGTAATGAAGAATGGGATTAGACAACTTTGAGAAAGGTCTCACTCTCTCTCTCTCTCTCTGTCTGCTCTCTCTCTCTCTCTCTCTCTCTCTCTCTGTCTATCTCTCAGTCTAAACCATATCTCTGTGTATATTTGACTGCTTTTATAAATTCACTCTGACACGCTGATCTGAAATTGGAGACCTTTCCTCAGATCGCCCCGAGACTGGACACACCAGCGCACAAAAACGTACACTCACTTTTGGCAATTTTGTCACATAACGTCCACCAACTGGAACTAAGTTCTCTGTCTGACCAGTGGCCAGTTGCCAGGTCCACTGTTAAGAACAGCTGAGTGCTCTGGAGCACTTTGACCATCTCTCAGTGTTTTAGCCTCGGGGGCCGGACTGCGCTCTCAGCAAACGACACCATGCATTTCCCAATAAAGACTGTGACTGAGTCTGGATTAATGGAGGGGCTGAAATCTGAAAGTGAGTTTTTGAACAGACTAACTTTGTGTAACAGCAACAACAGTGTAAATGCAAATGTTTAGGTTCTAAATACTTTTCTCTACTGCAAAAACGATATCTCGCCAGTTGAAATCAATATAATATAATATAATATAATATAATATAAATGTTAACTATAAAGATTAAGTAACATTACAAATATCTACTTGAATTCTATTTAATCTATGTTTAATCTAATCTAAGTTTCTATAATTTCTGCATCATTTTTCAAAATAAGACAACTTATCTGCTGATGATGAGACCCTTTCACTAGAAAAGACTACACAATTAAAAAAGATGGTTCTTCAAGGGTTCTTTAGGAAGGAGAATCGTTCTTCAGATTGATGAAGAATGAGCTGTAGTTAATTCCACATAGACCTTTTTTTGAAAATGGCTCTATATAGCATAAAAAGGGTTCTGCTATTGTTACGATGTCAAGCTTGTAACAACAGAATGACCTTTTTAGAACCTTTGCCTTTACTAGAGAACTAGAGAAAGTGTGTAATGCAACAAGTATGGAGAGTTAATGAATCTTATCATAATGAATCTTATCATATTCTATATGTTATTCTATAGTTGGCAATTTCCAATGACAGGAGGCAGCGTGAATGTTGGTGACACGAAGTGGGCGGAGTCAGGGACACAAC